GACTTGTGACCAACTCGACTTGCGATCAGAGTCACAGAACAGATTAAGTTTGTAAGTAGAGATACCACTGTATTTCTATTGTTATTTAGTGGTGCACTATATCTGAAAATACTGTGACTTACTATTAAATCAAAACTTTTAATCTTAACAGAAGGAGCCCCTTTTTCTCTGCATTCTGATTGTTATAAAAAGCAACTTTCATCCTCCACAGAAATCTTGTAAACAGCCTATAAATGATTCAAACTGGGAAGAAGCAAGGAGTAAACTGTGACTATTATGTTTTCAGCTGACAGTGTTTGGAGCCTTCCTTCATAAGGGGTCCTTCTGCCGGAATTACTTTAACTTGCTGGACTTGTTGGTAGTAGGTGTTTCTCTTGTGTCATTTGGCATTCAGTAAGTATTGCTTTTTTTTCTTTACTGTTTCCATTGGTGACTAGAATATAGAGAGTACTAATTTCCCCGTTGTACAGAAGTGGTCATACCTTGTGGGCTTAGCATCCTACATCAACCTTGATGACCAACAGATTGTATTTCCTTTCTCTGTATTTTGAGAAAAAAATGTGATAGGTATTTTGCAGTACCTAGAGTTCTATTTCAATAACTTACAAATTCTTATAATCTAGATGAGTCCAGTTCAGATTTTCTGACACAAGTTTTAGCCTACTCTTCTAAAATCAAACTTACATCTTGAGTTTCATGCATGTATTCATCACCTCCACTCCCCTAGATCAGATCACCTTCATTAAGTTCTGTTACACCTTTCTCCTTTCTCTTAGTTTCACAAGCAGACAACATATTTTTTTCTTTCATTCATTCATTAATTCATATTCTTTACTACTTTACTAGTTAGTCCTTTGACATTTCAAGTCACAATTTGTCATTTGCTGTGGTCCTAACTACATGGGTCTATAGATAATAGATCCTAATTTCCACCACCCAGCATGGCTTTGGTCAAGCCAGACTTTCCAATAGCGTTTTTAGACTAGACTATCAACATTCCTCCATAGTGGTAAAGATAGAACTGATCAGATTAGGCACATTTTGGCTGGGATGCCACAAGGGCAACCAGTGCCCACGTTTGACACAAGCATGTTCATGGTATTCTAGGCAGTAAGGATGGGATACAATAAACTTCTGTGTATTTTCTATCATCATCCTATGCTAGCTTGTGATATTTAAGCTGTTTAAACCACTATTATGTAGATTTTCCTTTTTTATCACATTCATTCAACTGTACTAGATATTGCCTATATCATTTCACAATATTTTGTCATTTAGGGATTTTATTTATTTTACTATTAGCATTTTAGTTATATTTTATTGTAGAACTCCTTTGAGAGACAAATAAGGAAGATGAATTACAACTGTAAGAGAACAGACAAAAAATATTAATTTTTGTGGTTTTTATTATTACTGTTAAGTCATTTAGAATGTGTAGAGTAAGCAGTATACAAATTATACTGCTTACTCTATGTATGTATTTATTATTTATTTTCTATATAAACTGTCTAAATAAATAAGATAACTGCAAAAATTGAGGAAGTTTTTTAGTTTTGTTTTTTGAGTCTAGAGGGGGAAAAACACATTCTGTAGCTGTCAAAAATCTGCATGGGACAAGTTGTCTGCTGCCATACACCTTATTTTATTCATTTTACTTGCCAGCATTAAACTCATTTAAAAAACTTTTGTTAAGAAACATTATGGAATGGCTTACTGAAGAGTTATCCATCCCAAGAGATCCTTTTGCTTCAGAAAAGATGGAAAACAACACCAAAAAAAATGCATCAGTATTTATTTTTTCTTGGAAACAAACGAAATTTCAGAATTAATGGGCTGTTATGTGCATGAATATTACTTAACTTTATCATAGTAGTTGAGTAGCATTAAGTCATGTCAAGCTAATGTTTTATTTGTTTTACTTTTCATCTAGATCAAGTGCTATATCAGTTGTGAAGATTCTGAGAGTTTTAAGAGTCTTAAGGCCATTAAGGGCTATTAACAGAGCAAAAGGACTTAAGGTCTCTATTTGAATTTTCTTTGCAAACTGTATATTCTGTTTATAAACAAAATTATAGTAATAGTCTAAAATGTCAATTGCCTTGACAGAGATTACCTTAAGAATGCCTTAGAGACTTTGAGCTCAAATAAGTCCAGGATTCTCTCTGTATCATTTTGAGGTTCATCTTTCTCAGTTGGTTTTAATGATGCCTTTTTCCAAATATTTTTTAACCAATATGCTTTGTGCTGTATTCTTGGATTTTCTCTTTTGTCTAGATTTCTTCATAATTCTCATTTCTGAGTTCCAGCAGTGGTTTGTTTTTACACCCATCACCTCATCCTGTTCCTTGATCTCGGCTTATCTAAAACGGACACTAATTTTGAGATTACCCAGGAATGAAAACTTCTCTTTCATCTAGCAATGTTTGAGGTCCCAATCGGGTCCCTTGGGAATAAGCATCACTGAGCTCAAGTTCAATGGAGCTTGTTTTAGACATATTTAATATTGCATGATTAGCTTCTTTATATGCTATTTGTGGCTGCTTAATAGTGAGACTGAATTTATGGAATATAAGATATCTTTTTTCCTATTGTGTGCCAATTCTGAGAATAAAAATAGTAAGGCATAATTTAAAATGTCAAATGAAACCTTTTATCGATACTTTAAAAATGAAGTGCTAGTTTAATAAGCGTAGTGATTACTCACCAGGTGAAAATTGAACTGATCTTCTTTTCTTTCCTTCCCGACAGCATGTTGTTCAATGTGTCTTTGTTGCCATTCGAACTATTGGTAATATCATGATTGTTACAACTCTACTCCAGTTCATGTTTGCATGTATTGGGGTCCAGCTCTTTAAGGTAAGAACAAGAAAAAAAAATCCAGAGCATAGTAAAACCGGATGATAAATAAAATATTGGCCTTGCAAATCATTCTTTATGAGGCTTGTTGAAGTTCTACAGAGTTGCTTGAAAAATTATGAAACAGGAGTGGTGCTCTAGATCCTATTGCTATGTTTTTTTTATGCATAGGGAAAATTCTATCGGTGCACAGATGAAGCAAAGCAAAATCCTGTGGATTGCCGGTAAGAACATTTTCTTATCTGCATTTTTTAGATGGCAATACAATAACAAAGAGATGGGAAGCTTTTGGCTCTCCATATGTTGCTGAAAAGCAACATGGTGTAGTTCCTAAGGTGTCGGACTTTGACAGGGAATATACAGCTTCAAGTACCCAGCAGACCACAGAGCTAACTGAATAGTTTGGGTCAGTCACTTTTTCAGATCAATTTACTTCAGAGACCTGTTAATAAAATCAGGAGAGATGTCTGTGTGTGTTCTTGGAAGAAAGCTGGGCTATAAATGCAATAGAAATAACTATACTATTAATGTTAGACATATTTCAGTGGGCCATAAGATTCCCCATTCCTGCTATTCATTGGGACTTACTAAAACATGCAAAGGATTGTGTTATAGGTGCATTTTAAGAAAGATAGAAAAAAAGTTTAAGATATTTGACAATTACCATGGTAACTGTTTGCTTTTTTCATCTATAGGGGAATATTTATTGTGTATAAAGATGGAGATGTGGAGAGTCCAATGGTGAGAGAGAGAATATGGCAGAACAGCGATTTCAACTTTGATAATGTCCTCACTGCTATGATGGCTCTTTTTACTGTTTCTACTTTTGAGGGCTGGCCTGCGTAAGTGTAACATTTACAAAAGAGTTTATTATTCTATTCTATTCTATTCTATTCTATTCTATTCTATTCTATTCTATTCTATTCTATTCTATTCTATTCTATTCTATTCTATTCTATTCTGACTGGCCTTTTCAGAGTTGATCAATTTCTTTTTGGGAGGACTAAGACTGGGAACATGATTCTTAGAAATACTGTTGCCTTGATCTAATGAGGATGTACCATTTTATAGGCATAATGTGTTACAGAGCTATACAGTTAATGGAGCAGGGGATATGACAAAATTTTAAACAGGCTATAGATTTGATGAAAATGTTTACTAGTCCTTCACATTTCCACTTTATAAATAATACTGATCTTTGTAATTCTCCCTTGCTTTAAAATAATCTACCAGTAAACCTACTCTACATTAAACATTTGCACTCTGTGATGAATTTATTGAAGATTCAAACTATATTCTCATTCTTTTAGGTATTCAGCCATCCCCTTTTACTTTCCCCTTTTTTCTCTGTTTCTTCTAACCTCTTCTATGTGCTCATGGAAGTCTCTTCCTATGTTATGTATTGGAATCTTGTGTAACTTTTTTTTCTAGACTTCTCAGTATAGTTCTGCCATAATTTTAGTATGTTAATTAGTATTAAGCTGGAGTTCCCCAATTAGAAAGTAACAGAGAACATTGACTTAATGCAAATCAGAATTTTTCTGCTGAAACCACGTTTCTTGTAAGATAGAGTGGAGAAGGTGTGCTTCAGCCTTATGTTCATTCCTGGATTCCTCAATAATGGCTTATAAAACCTTGCGTGATTGTCTTGTGGCAGATTACCCTCTCCTCTTAATATTCTTAACATTGCTATATAGCAGCTTTCCTCATCCTGGTATCCTCTAGAATTAATTGGGCTTCCAATTTCCATAGTTGCTTGTGCAGCAAGGCCTCCCCCTTATTTTCCTTCCCCGTGCCTGATAGACAGTCTGAAACAGGCTTTGAAGAGTACAAGGAGAACCATAGTGACAGGCATCTTGCCCTCTTGTTCCGTGACCAGAAAAGGACCTTCTTTACAAAATATACCTTTCAATATTGAAACCAGCATTAGAAATTGCTGTTTTCATGATGTTACAATCCATTGTTCATTTGTCTTCAATATGCAGGCTTCTTTATAAAGCTATAGATTCAAATGGAGAGAATGTAGGACCGATCTACAATTACAGAGTGGAAATCTCTATTTTTTTCATCATCTACATTATTATTATTGCTTTCTTCATGATGAACATATTTGTTGGCTTTGTCATTGTCACATTCCAAGAACAGGGAGAACAAGAATACAAGAACTGTGAACTTGACAAAAATCAGGTAATAAATAACACCTATATAAATATTATAATCTGATATGTAATGATCTTCAGAATCCTAATATTTCATTTGCTTTCCATTACTAAGCAAGTTTTCTACAAACAGGCCTAGCTTAATGGCAAAATGAATGTGCTACACACAGCCATGAGAAACAAGAATGTCTACTACCTTAGTGATAAGGCTTTGCAAAGTTTCACAGAAGTATTTCACTTTAATAAAGTGACCTTTCAAAGCTGCTTTGTGAAGAATCAGTATGTTGCTTTGTTTGGGAGTGTTTGGGAGCCTCTCTTAGCTTCTTCCCACAAAGCTTATGGTATGGAGAAGGTTGAAGTTGCTGGACAGCTCCAGGGCAAGCTGCAGAGAATCCTTCCTGCTCACCCAGCTGAGAGTAGCCTGTGGTGTGGAAAGTTTGATGGACTATCCCAACTTCTCCCGCACTGAGAAGCAGTTGAGGTAGTCCAGCAATAGGAAAGCATACATCCTTAGATGATGAAAGGCCTGTCAGAAGAGGCCAAGGTCATGAAAGGGCTGAAAAACCACCTTCAGACAGCAGTGCAAGGAAGACTGTGAGAGCCTTCTCCCATGACGCTGGATGAAGTACTTCCAGGCCAGGTGGCATAGAAGCTACCCAGTCTGGAGCCATCTTATTCAAGATGGAGAAAACTCAAGTTGCCTCCAAAGAGGGCAACAGATGGGTAAATGAATGTTAGTATAAGCATAAAATAATACATCCTCTGACCATCAATTAGACATTTAATTTTACAAGGAGTAGTTTACAGGTGGCAACAAAGAGCCCATGAGTCTCAAGGGACCTCTAAAAAGAACCAGTATACTCCCTCCAAAAATTACTGAAATCAGATGAGATTTTGCTGAAATTTTACATAGTATGTGGTCTGTCACAAGGTTTCACACTATTTTAGTTTATTTTGGATAGGTTGGGCATTGCACAAGGTCACATCATAGTATTTAGCTGGATACTTTCTCCCCACATATCAGGCATTTCCAAATTTAATCCCATTATTTTGATCCTTCTAGTCCGTGCAGAATTTCTCACCCTCTCCCATACTAAAGGAGGTGATGAGAGAAACAGACAAACACTATTTGGAGGTTATAGGTTTCTGGCTCCTAATACCTTTGCAGTATACATTTATTTTAAGATTTAAAATAAGAATACTAGTTTTATCTCTATGGAATGGAAAAGTTTTGTTTTGTTTATAACCAGGAGCTGGGAGTCCTTCTCTTACAAACAGCCAAAGTAGTTTTTCAGCCCTGGGCTTTACTAGAAGAGGGAGAATAAAAATCTCTGCTACCTATCCTTTCATGAAACCTGAGGATCAGGTGATAAAATAGGGGAAAACCAAAAACTCCAGGAAGAGCTTTCCATTCCTGTCTGTCACTAGAGGAAATTAACTTAGTGTCAAAGAAGGTAAGGAAAGGCCTTATCTTCAGGCAGGAAAGGCTGTATCTTAAACAGCAGTTTTAAGATTGTTGACATCTCCCTTGAGTATGTGGGGGAACATCTGGGTTGGCAGTTTTTCCCCATGAATTCAGTCATCACCAACCTACTCCTTTAAAATACTCTCTCAGCCCAACTCACCTTGCAGGGTTGTTGTGGGAAAAATAAGAGGAGGAAGGAGCATTAGGTATGTTTGCCCCATTGAGTTACTTATAAAAATAATAAAGGTGGGATACAAAAACCTAAAGAAAAAAATTGAGGCTCCTTTCTTCTTTCCTGCTCATTCAGCTCAGAATCCTGGTGCTTGTAGTTAGGTATCCCATCTTGCTGGGACACGAAGGGATATGCTGTGAAGGCCTTAGAGCCTTTCCCTCCCCATCTCCCTCCCTCCCTTGACCATGACAGTACTGTGGCTTTTAGGGATTCAGCATTTCCCTGCCTATTAATTTGCTTCTGTTCTGCTTGTGGCACAGTGAGTGGAGTTGAGGGCAAGTCTTTTGTCCATTCCTTCAACAAGTGGCAGATAACTTTGCTTTGATTTACTTATCTTAATAGGAAAGTGTTAAGTTAATACTTGCTCATATTTGTCAAAGTGAGCTTGTCTTTAGACCCGTGGTACATAAAACTGTGTTTGCACAAAGAGAGATTATGAGGTAGTTGCTAAATAGTGATTAATTTTAGATTCTGATGATCCAGAGCTACAGGCAGGAAAGCCAGTTTTAAGCATTGAATTTAACAATGCTTAACCACAGTCTAGTTCTAGGTGACTTTTCCACTATATGTTTGGAGTGCATCTTTCCTTCTGGCTCTGCTTATGTGATCTAACTGTTCATATAATGGAGCTGTCCACTAATGGATTTGCTTCTGAAATAAAAACTTGAATCTCAGACAGGCAGTTCTGGCCTACACTGCAATTCCTGTTTATGATGTTGACATTTCTACTGTTTTCAGCGTCAGTGTGTAGAATATGCTTTGAAAGCCCGGCCACTGCGTCGATACATTCCGAAAAATCCTTACCAGTACAAATTCTGGTATATGGTGAACTCTGCTGTCTTTGAATATATCATGTTTGTCCTCATCATGCTCAACACCCTTTGCTTGGCTATGCAGGTAGGAATGAAACAAAGTGCCACTTCTGAGTTATCCTAAGGAAATTGGGTATGGCCATTTTATTTTACAATTAGTTTTATTGATTTATTGTTTTATTGATTTATTAATTAAGATTAATAAACTTATTTAGAATTACCCTGTATTTGTTTATTTAGAATTTATTTAGTATTATCGTGTATGTTATAGGCATTTCCTCCAGATCAGATTTAGGAATGCTGCAAGATGGCACAGAGAAAAGAGCAGAAAGTACCCTTGCACGCAACAGTGGATTTCATCTGTGGTTTTGGAATTACCATTTTTTACTAAAATCTTAAGAAAATTATTTTTAATTATAGTTTTATTATTTACAAGAATATGTTAAGTCATGCATCAGAATCAAAGTGTCTGCCCTATGGACTATGGAATAAAGAAGGGTGGATGCCATTTGCTTGTATCAGTTTCAACTTATTTCATGGCAAATTGGAAACGTGGAGGGGTACCAGTACTCTATAATTGTCATCAAATTCTCCAGGCTTCCCTATAACTGTTCAGAAAGTCTGTTCTATAAGGGAATTTTTTAAAAAATAAAATACTTCCAATAAAACTTTCTTGCCTTCATTCACTAGAATTCAGGATTGGACATTTAACTGAAGTGAGAGTCTTCTTGCACAAGAACATGGAAACAAAATTACAAGCCTGAGTACCCATATTGAGGACCTTTTAAATTTCCCTACATAACAGCAGTTGCATGTATTTAATCCTTGCATTTGAAGCCAACATTCAGTTGTGTGCTGCTTCTCTTCAACCCATCCTTGAACAAATGCTTAACCATTACAGTGAGATACACTGTCCAGGTTCACATTTCATACTAAGCCACCATATTTGCTTTGGGGTTAGCATGTTCTGTGAACCCATCCATGGGTGAACAAGGGGAACAAGCACTGAAATGAACATCACAATGTCATGACGCAAAATCTACCCTTTGCATACTTGTCTGCATCCTTACCACACAAGTATGAAAAGGCAGAGCTTATATTGTGATATCACAATGCATACTTTGTCAATTTTGCCTCATTTTGGCTAGCTGCAGGCATCAGTGAACTCAGCCACTGTGGTTTGTAAGCCATTGCATATGGCTTAGAAGTATGTGTGAATCAAGCCACTGTGCCTTAGTCCACAAGCCAAAATGAAAAGAAACTGCATTTTAGCACAACATATGAATCCAGCCAATTGCCAGCATCCAGTTTAACTGTGGTCAAAGCTAGTCAGTTTCCTTTCTACTAGTTTTACTTGAATTCACATGCTATGCCAAGTCACAACATTATTCATTTGGTTTTAGCTTGGTGCATTTTTGTGAATGCAGTCGTTATGGTTTCTAAATGATTGATATGTAAATCCAGGCATTGTGATTTCTTTAACAAACAACATGATTTGGTTAAAAGAAATCATGACTTAATGTGAAACTAGCTTTTGAGAACTGCCTACAAATCTTGTCTGAGAGCAAACTTAATTGGCTTATCATATTTAATGTCAATAGTGATTGATCATTTTAAGGAGCTGGAGGTAAAGAAAAATTAGATCCAGGTAAAAGGGTATTTTAATCAGATATAGGGGTGTCTTAATAAATTGTTGGGAGCAATTATTTCCTAGTATTGGGAGAAATGACATCCTGCTATTGGGAACAGTAATTTACTATGATGTCAATATGTTATTTCACAGTAAATTTAGAAAAATTAGAAAAAGAGACAACAAATAATAAAAGCTTTATCAAGCTGGATAGCTGGGCAGCAAGAGACTGCCATAGATTCTCCTTGTTGGGTATTAAGAACACAGGGTTTCATACTAAACTTTTTAGTATAAGATTTGGTAAGTGATAGAGATACGTTGTTTTGTTTATTTGATTGTCTGAAAGAAAGAGTTATATTAATATTCTTCTCATTTGTTTTATTTGTAGCACTATGGACAGTCTAAACTTTTTAATGATGCAATGGATATTCTGAATATGGTGTTTACTGCAGTATTTACTGTTGAAATGGTTCTGAAACTCATTGCATTTAAACCGAAGGTAAGAGGTTATGTATGGTTTAATTAGCATTTCCTTTTGGTTGCTTCTTATTAATTTACAAGTATTTTTTGCTTAGATCGACACACAAGTAAGATAGCATAGGTTTTCATGGCAAATTATCAGAAATATCTTCACAGAAATGTTAAATCTGATAACAGTGTTTATGCAACTGCAGCAAATAAAATGTAGAAGCATTATTTTTTTACAAAATGTATTGCTTGGTAATATACAAGTAAGGAATATATTAATGTAATAAATTCACTTCTTTTTCTTCAGCCAGTTCTAAGCTTATATTATATTCCCAAACATATTGAATGTCGATCCCAAGGCATGTTTGACCATTGAAGTAGTATAACAGAAAGCAATGTGGTGTCCTTGTCTCAAGTATTTCAGAGAATTAGTTTGTAGGTGGGCACTGACACATTTGGGAGCAGTACAGGTTAAGAATGGTTTGCAGATGAACAAATGGGTTCCAGCAAATTAATATGACTGATTTTTTTTTCAAATCCAGTAGTTTAACATTCCCAGTTGTTATTCAAATATACCAATATTTGGATGTAAGCTATCAGACTATGATCTTTCTTATGGATCCAATCTAATCCAAGGCTTTGTAGATGCATAGTAGTTTCAGCCATTTCTCATGTGGTCAGTTGTACTTTGAAGAAGGAGTGAGACCATGCCATCTCTCATAACCAATGATAATCCAGTCTTCCAATATCCACATGCTGAATGGAAGAGGACCTCCATTAGAAGACACGCTGTTCCACATAACGGCACCTGTGCAATCCAGATGTCTGCTGAGCCAAGAGTTTCAGTAGCTGCTTGAACCTAGGAATTCTTTTCCAGATGAACATGCTCAGTTCACAGATGTCAGTGGGTGGGTTTAACCTTGCAACTTGCCATTGAGGGTGTGGGGGACAACATCATACTTTATGTTTCAAGCCATTCCACTATCTGTTTTCCAATAAAAAAATATTTGAATACCATAGATTGTTTGCAAAGTTCGTGAGGTCATGAAAACCAAGCATTATGTAACCAAATATGGAATTATTTTCCCTTGCCATTTTGTATCAGATTTGTGTGCCAAAAAAGAAAAGATACCTAGTAAGTAATTTCATCATGGGTTATTGCAGTGATGAAGGCTATGAGATGTGTGATGCAAGTTTACTTGCTGTGACTTGTCCATATATTGCATTTTCCCTTTTCCAGAATCATTTTGATTTCTTTTACTTGTGTTTTTATTTGTATTTGCTTGCTTTGCCCCTACACATTGCTGAAAACAATATTGAGCATGCTGGTGGGAAAGGTGTGCCATAAGAAATCAATATGTGACACGCAGTTTGATTGATTGATTGCAGTTTAAAATTCCAGCAATCTTCTAGTAACTCAATAAGACAGGGGTCCATTCAAGTATTTTTCGGTTAAGGATTGGCAAACATTTTAGAGTGCCCTTGTAATGGCCCATGTTCTGCTGGAGGCGCTTTTCAGTTCCCTCTATGTTAGTGTGATCTTCTCATGATCAACTTTTTATGCATCTGTCTGGCTTTTGGTTTCTCCTGAATTGTGCTGAGCAAACAATACATTTTGTTTCAGTCACTAAGCACATGCTGCTGAGACTGTAGAGATCAAACAACTTAGATATTTCTTATTTGGAAATGTCAGTTCTGCAGGCTTGTTTTTTATTTTATTACCTATTTTCAGGACTTAAAGAGACACCAATAGCATGTTGCAATTTGGAGTCATTTTAAAAAAAGACTCTTAATGAGCCCATACAAGCTGCTTTAAACTGCCACAGTGTTTGAGTGTTGCCCATTAGTTTCACATTCATCTTTATTATTTCATATATTGTATGTCAGATTGACTTCCTTTAATTTTTAATTCATCTTGGGCATTAATCATACATAATATGGGAAGGACCATAGTTTAGTGCTAGAATACTTGCTTCCATGAAGATCTGTGGTTTAATCCTTAGCCCTTCTAGATAAGGCTGGAGAAGTTTCCTCTTGGAAACCTTTCAAAGCTATTGGTTAGACAATGGCTAAATTCATATCACATAACTGACCCAACCTGTTTCTACCCAGAGAGTAGCCATCTTTAGGAAGGTCAGCTACCACAAGAGTGTCTTTGAAGCTGTCAGTCCCTGACATTTTTTTAATGTTATGGGAAAATGTTCAAAAAAAAAAGAAAGATCCCCTGTAGTTCAGTTGGCAGAAAGAATTGGGGAAGGCTTATCCACCCCTGCCCTTTCACCCCCTTCTGTGTGTCTGCAGTAAGTGGGAGTTTAAAGTAAAAATGTTAGAGGAATGGAGTTCCCCCAAAAGCTCTATTCTGCATGGCCTCTCCACATATGGACTTCATGCCAGCAGCAGGAAGAAAAGGCTAACCATCTATTCCATGTTCACATGATAAAACAGACTGGAGGGCTTTGTTTAACTCCAAATATACCAGCTCTGTTTTAGGTTAAAGCTTCCCCTTTCTAACCTCATGGCTGACTGAGTTTAGGTGTTTTCACAGCATATTAACCATTAACCCTACCAATGATGAGTTAAGCATGCCATGTGAACATAGCCAAGGTTAAAAAAAAAATACTGTGATGGAAAATGGTCTGACGCTGTATAAGCCAATTTCCTGTGTTCCTATCTACGTGGTGAGATTTGGGGTTATTCTACTTAAAGTAGAATTCTACACACAGGTTATTCAACACTTCTTTACTTATGTTTGGTGTTTCAACCAATTACTTTGCAGAAGTAAACTGCATAGAAGCATAAATTTACATTTAGATTTTAAGATTCTCCCCTGAATTGTCATGCCCATCAGGATTTTACATAGGTAGCCATTCTCTCAGCTGAGAGAAGCTATCAGGTGTCAATGTGTATCCAACAGCTTAAGCTTGAGTAGGCAAACTGGTGCCCTTGCACAACGTCAGTTGGATGGGGCTTGTGATAGTTGTCATCCATAACTATAACTACCTTAGAAGATGTAGTTAATTTGTAGTGAAGTCTCATTGGAGCAGTGTGGCATGCAGATATTCTCTGCTCATACTGCCAGTACTCTGTGTCCATATTTACAACATAAACCATCTGCTGCAGAATTCTGTTGGCATATGGCAGTGGAATCATGTCACATATAAGCCTTCCCTTCAGTAGGCAATATTGTTTATTCTTTCCTCATGAGATCACAAAATTTTTGTTTGATGTAATTTCTGTTTATGAAGAAGTTAAACAGAAGTATGCAAATATTCTGACATTTCATATGTAATCACAAACATTTGCACCCTGCCTGCTCTGTTCAGGGCTATTTTAGTGATGCCTGGAACTCGTTTGACTCCCTCGTCGTTCTTGGCAGCATAATAGACATCGTTCTCAGTGAAGCTGATGTGAGTATCCCCCAGCAAAACACCTGCAGTCCCACTGCGCTCTCTCTCTCTCTCTCTTTTTCTCCCCCCCCCCACTCTTTCTTTATCTCTCTTCTCCCTTCCCCCATTTACTCTGTTATTTGGACAAGTCACAGAACTTTGGATATGGTTCTTAACTCCGAATGCAGGCCAGTCATAATTCATAGTTTGCTTCCCACTTTCTCAGATTTGAGATGGAAAGATGCAGTACTGGTACATTGTGTATCTGTGTTATAACACTGTCCTTTTCTTCTCTTTCTTTTCTGTTTCTGTTTTCTCGTGCTTCTGAATGCTTGTCCTAACAGCACTATTTCACTGATGCATGGAACACTTTTGATGCCTTAATTGTTGTTGGTAGCGTCGTTGATATTGCTATAACCGAAGTTAATGTAAGTAACCCTGTTCTCCCCACTACAAAGTAATGGCTGTCCATTTAGCATCAGAGCAGAAAAGAGTAGTTTAAAATTAGTGACTTATATATCCTTTCCCCTTCTACTAAGAGATGGATTGTTTGTGTATTGTGTGAAAACTGCAGTTCTATCATTCACACAGTAATACCTGTGGATTGTGCCCCAAAACTAGAAGAGACATCATGTCACTAGTCACACATTCCTATGACAAAGATTTCTAATGGAAGTTGAGATATCACATTCAAAAGACCGTACTGATCACTACTGGACAACATAGGTTTCCTCAAGCGTTAAAGCACCTAGCTATCTCTTGCAGCTGGTTTGGGCACAATAAGTGATCTGTTCGATGGGTCACAGGTTGAATAGGCCTGGTTCAGTTTAAGCTGCTATCCATGAGATATCTGTATCACTAGCAGAGAGCTGTATTTGGGACTGAGGGCAAGGGTGGAAGAAAGCCAAGAAAATTACTGTAGGCTGTACTGCAAATACAAAAAATGATGTATATATTGTCCAAGTTTTAAAAATCATATTTCCCAACTACCTTACAAATTCAGTGAAGATGTTTTATAACTAGAATTTTAAAAGTTATCATGAAGTATTATTAAGAATTAGGAATATTCATGAAAATTTAAATTCAATCATGTGGCTAATAGTCTCCACAGGACCTGATGCTTTTATCAAAACGATGAAAGGAACATTGTACTGTTGTGACACAAACTCTATTCTTTTTGGACATCTGTGCAATGTCACAGTGCCTGTACAAAAGGGACGATGCTTGTGGTGCAAAAGCACAATCCTGCTTTCATCATTTCCCTTCACCCCTACCTCCCTACCCTTTGACCTTCCTGCAGACATCTCTGGGCTAGATTTGGCTTCAAGGGTTATAAAAAGTGCAATCGTTTAGTTTAATTTAGTTTAGTTTAGTTTAGTTTAGTTTAGTTTAGTTGTGTTGTGTTGTGTTGT